TTTCTCTTTCCTTTTTCCTCTCCCAAGTGAAAAAATGAAGCATATGATTTCTAGATCATCATCTGTAGGCTGATACAGAAATCATGAGGCAGATCTAAAAGCTGACAAGCTGTAAAACCTCACCTCATTTCTTGTTGCCTTCTAGTTACACTGTTTAAAGAAAGTATATCTTGATCATCAAAGCCTAAGTGTTTTACCTAAAAACATGGGTCTCTACTTGCTGATCAGGGGTCTCTGATTACCTCCTAATCCAGTCTGCTTCCTTCCATTTCCCTGTGTTCTTGCTTTTGTTGACCTTCTTCCCTGCACCAGGTCTCTGTTACTCCTAAGGTATTTGTCTTTGTTGTTTTCACTTTTTTTCTGTTTCTTTTTATCATGCAAGATTTCTCTGCCCTCTTCTTGTAATGTTTATCTTGTAATGTCCATCCTCTGCCAGAAGTCTGGCTCACTCCTGATACATCAACATTTTTCTCTCAATTTAATTACGAATCCTGTTCTTTGCATTGCAATCTCTTCCTTATGTTGCTCTGTTGCCTGTACTTTGTTAATTCTTTCCTTTTCCTTTTATTGGTACTAATCTTGACTTTTGTATTGACAGTCTTGTCTGATTTGCTAATTAACGCTCCAGTTCCTGCAGTCAGATGATTAAATGAGAGCCTGAACTGTTTTTTAAAGGAGTTCCTCATTCTCTTAAGGACAAGGAAGAGCCTACTGTTGTAGCTACAGTGCCTCTTGAAGACTTAAAAGCCAGAAAGCGAATGCAAATTCAACTTATTGTTAATTTGAGGGCCTGACTAAAGATTGTTCAATTTGGGGATCCCTCTTTAGTATCTCCTGTGTTCTCCCTTGCTTTGATTAACCTCAGCTTTTCTTCTTCGGCCAACTCTTTTGCTGTCCTCCAGTACATATGGGCAGTGGCTGCCTTTCCTGAAGGCAACTTCAGTTCTGCTGTTGAGGAAATAGCCACTTGATTTCACCCAAAATCTGCAGAAATGGGCTTGGCATTTAATTAGAATATTAATCTTTAACAAAAATGAACTTGCGGTCTTTTATCGGTGTGTACCTCGGCTACACTATTGCCTGAAAATTGGTGCTAATAATCTCAATTCTGCAAGAAGTTGCCTTGAGGCAAATGCTTTTGATCTCTGTAGAAGACTCTGAGACTCTAGAGGAAGGCAGGGAAGATGCTCTGAGGCTGACAGCTGCAGGGCTCTTAGAGCAGCTGGTTACAGCTGAAACAGCAGCCACGTGATCGCGATGTCACATCATCAACATCAACTCTGTAGCTTCATTTTTCTTCAGTGCAAATGCTTTCTAACAAATAACTTGTGCCTTTTTTAACATGCTGAATTATCTCTCTGGCTTTTAAAATTCAGTCTTAATCATTTGCTTCTTACCACTAGCAGCAATACATGATATGCTTGCTGTTTGTTTTTACATCTAAGAAAACCCTTTCTAACCATGACCTGTTAATCCTTGGGAAGCAGGGATATGGTGTTTCAGTGAAGCATGGGCTATGGATAAATTTAGTAGTCTCTTTAAGCAGTGTTCTGAGAGATTTTCAGAAAATAATAGTTTTTTTCTGGCCTAAATAGCAGCCTGAATCTCCTGCCTTGAGGCATAAGATAGTGTACCCTAATGCTTGCTTGATGGAAGTTTGGCATGACTCCTCTTGTTGTGGGTTTAAAATAAGGAAAAAATTAATATAGAAATTTTGAGGAATGAAAAATTAATGTGAAGGTTTGGGGTTTCTTTGTGTTTGTGGGGTTTGGTTTTTTTTGTTTGTTTTTTTCTTTGGTGGCAGATAGGTCTCTTTGAAGACTGTTTTCAGAGATACAGGAAACCTCCAATTTAAGTCTCTTCTCTACTTGGAAAAACTTTGTTTTTTTTCATTTTGACCATCTATGAGTGAAAAAGAATATATAATCTTCTGAACTGTAGCTTGTTTATAAACTGAAGTTAACTTGAACTATGAAGTTATGCTCTTTACTAGTAATGAATGCATTAATCACTATTTGAAAGCTGTCATAGTAAAATACTGTTGAATCCTTTTTGGACATAAGTGGTCAAAGTGCTACACAGATTAGTATGTAGTTGGTGTTGAAGCCTGGAGACACCTTCATCTATGTTAAGAAGCAGCAGCAGCAATAATTTTTTAAGTCTTCATCTGTTTACCAGATAAGCACTTTATACACACACAGACTGTTCTATGACTTCTTATAAGTATTTTTTTTTTCTCCTGGTGCAAATTAAGAAAGAGTGACCCTTAGGACCCATTTAAGAGCTTCTGCTTTTTCAGTCCTGTCAGCTGAATAGAGAAGAGATTTCTACTCCCAGCCAGTATAAGTAAAGCCTGTGTAAGTAAATTGGCTTGCGTGGGCTGTACAAAAGCGAATTTGAAGTTGTGATAGATGGAAGTAAGTGCATGTTTCTTGAGTCAGTACTGTTAATGCTGGTCTCTTTAGAAATGTAGGAAATTCCTGACAGAGGGGGCCCATAAGTCAACACAAACAGCTCAGGGAAATCTAAGTGTATAGCTGGACTTAAGATCCAGAAGCATATGGAATGGTATGGTAAATAATTACCATAATGCACTATATATTAAAATGTTATGTCAGTTAGTAGTTTGTACCTGTCTAGAATATCGTCTGCAGTGCATTTGAGCTGTTGTGAGACTTAAACTGTTATTGCCCCTTCCTTCCCCAGCATATGGAATTATGACAATACTATCTTTTTTGAAAATGCTGGTAAAAATGGGAATAAATAATCCAGTTTAAGATGTTCCCTATGTTTTTAGAATAAAATAGAAAATGAATTATTTGCTCTGAAAGCATCAGTAAATTTAGGTATATGAAGTAAAGAAAGTTTTCAGAGTTTCAGTGCTTTTCTTTGAAGAGGTAACCTTTTTGCTGTTTTGGTCTGGATGAATTTATTTGCTTTTGTGCTTTAGGACTTGTTTAGCACTTCTGTAAACATCTTCCCAGGCTCAGTATTGCTATGAAGTGTAGCAATGTGTACTTTTTTCTGTGCTACTGAGAGCATCTAGTAGACAGTTTGACCCCTATTCTGTTAGACCATAGGAGAGACAAGTGAAGATACTTTAAATTATCAGTGATTGCAAACATTGGTGGCCTTCTGCATGCCATTGCATTGTTACAGGTTTTAAATTACTACTTTTTTTCTGAAGTAGTAATTTTTTAAAATTACTTTTTTTTGGGGGGGGTAGAAAGGGAAGGCAGCACACTTTTTTCCCTATCATGACTACATTTCTTGAATTAGTCTTTTTTCATCTTGCATCATGGAGATACATTGTTTTGGTCTTCTGTCATTTTAGTTTCACAGAAATAGCTCCTAATATTTATAAATCTGCTAATAATTGTAGGAGCATTAAAAAAAGTTCTCAGTACATTTCTCCCATTTATAATTTATAACAATCACATAGATGTTACCATTTTAAATACAAAAAACTCTCTTCTGTGGATCTTGAAGTGAATGAACCAGATTCACCAGTCCTTTTGAAAAGATGATGCATGATGCAAAAGCTGCCTTTTAAAGTCACCCTTCTGTTCTTCATTTTGAAGTCAGACACTAGTGCTAACAATTCTGCTTGCACTGGCAACAGTTCAAAAAGAAGGTAAGCAACTTTCACTCTGTTAGGTGGATGTTCCCTATTCATTCAAGATGTGTTTGACCTTTAGTTTCAAAGGGAAGGTGACCAGTTCAGTATGAAAAATTAATCTCTTTTTCTATTCAGGCGACTCTTGGCTAGTGCTGACAATTTTGCATGCCATTCAGACTTAACATACGAAGTCAGCACAATCAATCTATGCATTATGCTAACCAGTTAGTTGAGCTTCCTTGGGCTTGCCAGGCAACCCGATAACAGTCCTTTCAGTGATGACTGCAAATTGCAGCCTTTTCCTAACTATTGCAGTAAATTCTTTGTCCACACCGGTGGTATTCAGCAACCATCACCCATAACATATGCTCTCAGAGATTGCACAGTCAAGTGAATGCACACCATGCTCATTTTTGAGTATGGGTGGGCTCAGATTCATGTAATGCATTTCCTCGGATGAGTGCCATCAGGCCTAAAGTTGCAAAATTTAATCTAGCAGTGTGGGTGCAATGAAGACAAAAAGCAAGCAAAAAAGAGTAAAATTCAATGTCTGTGTGTTTTGAAGGTAAAGTCTGGGGTAGGTATGCTTTGAAGTGGGTATATTTCTGTGAAATACTTGAATTCCTTGACTATCATTTTTCCAACAGAAAATCATCCTGTCGGAATTGTTTCTCCCTACTTTGACATGTATTGATGCAAAGTGATAAACTTGCTGCTTTTAGTGAAATGGTATAATCTTATTATGCTGTGACATTTCAGTCTTATTTTTGTAAGCTGTCAAACAAGTGTTTTGTCTTTGAGAAAGTTTAATGAAACTATTCAGAAGCTTAATTTTTCTGTATTATATAAATTAAAAAAATAATGATTCTGAACATAAAATGTTGACAAAAGTAACTTAACAAAATTACAGTATCATTTCAGCTTTAATTTCCTTGAACTTCATGTTGAACTCTTTGATATCCCAAAGTATCAGATTAAATGGTGCCATTAGCCTGGTTTATGAATTAATGTTGGTTTTTTTCTGTTGAAATAATTATTTGCTGCTGCTTAATTTAAGCCAACGTGTTTTCATGTTCAATCCATGGCCAGTCATCAGTCATACAATTTAAATAATGAAGCCAGGCATTAAAGACACATCTTTTAAAAAAGGAGTATTGTGAAGGATCCAAATAAAGAGGGCAGGGCTGCTGCTTTTTTTTTTTTTCTCTGATGCATATATCATAGAAATATTATTGAAATGTGTAAGTAAGTAAGTTAATGTAAGAAAGGCAAAGAATATTCAGTAGTTACTCAAAAGAAGAAAAAAGTTACATAAATTTTTAGGTTTTTATTTTGTCTGTTGTATTTTAATTAATCTGAGAACGTTTTTTTTCCATTTCAGATAAATCGGGCCGTGTACACTGCACAGAAATGGAGGTAAGAGAAGTCTTTTGTGTTCTTTGCTAGTGCTGATTTAGGTCAACTCTTTTTCATTGACTTATAGTGTAAATGGGGTGCAAATCAAGTGTGGAGTTCTAATTGCAAAGTTGTACCATACAGTGTGTGTGGTATCTATGACTTTCACCAAAAGCTGCAGACATAGTCTTAACATGGGATCTTTAGTCTCATGTTTAGGAACAGGAAAGAAAAGACATGTGGTTTTCCACAAAGAAAGTTAGAGATATGTCATACAGCCAATGACATCTTGTTTTAGGTTGATTTCTTCAAAACATATATTTTTAGCAGAATATTTTATTTTAGATAGTTTCTGTTGGATAAATTCTCTAAAACCTTCAGAAAGGTTTTAGTAGGTCGTGGAATAAATACTTGGTGTTTATAGAATGGGTTGGTGATTTTTGACAACCTGAGAGTTGAATGGAATCAGAGAAGACAAGTGATCTCAGGGTTTCTTAACCATCTAAGACATCATGATTTCAGATACTTGTAGTATTTCCTTTAATTTACCACTTGCCAGTATTTTGGGGTCCAAGAAATATTTGTGTATCTTGCTCGGATAGCAACAGAAACATAAATCCAGTTAAATGTGCTTGATTTATATCTTGACCATTATTTGAGTCTGTATCTTTGATGCTAAAAAGCTGAAGAGGAAAGGAAGGACTGAAGGAGAAAGATGGAAAGGAAAACTAAGTAGAATGTCTTGATGAACAAGATGTGGACTCATAGTATAATTTTTATTATCATACAGAGTAAATAATATAGTCTGCTCCTTAAATAAACTTTTCCAGTGGTAAATATAATTTCTTTGTCATTTGCAGGGCAGTCTTTTCTCACTGCCTTTGAAATGTCTTTGAAATGTAAAACTGAGTTTTTACTTCGACTGTTTCTTCAGTACCTCAGGCTGAGCCTGGAGAATGGGGCAAGTGCATGCATCTTAATTGGCTGGTTGTCTGTTTTCTTATCAATAATATATATGAAGGTGACAAACTGCTGTTACTGAATGGTATATACTTTTAAGCTGTGCATGAAAATGCCCAGTTTAAAGACAAAATGAAAGGCCAGCTAATTTAGCTGCAAATAACAAAATGCTAAGGCCATCTAGATTTTTGCTAGTATTAATTAAAAAAAAAGAAATGTTATTTGTGCAGGATACGGTGTAAGAAGTAATTTCTAACTGATGTAAGTAGAGAAATTGGAAGCAGGCCCATTTTGTGTCTTCATGTGTTCAGTTTAAGCAAATGCATCCTGGTTCTGTTTCAGCATTTGTAAAATATAAATCTAGTACCTTATTTATAATTATGATCTAGTGTGTTATTTGCTTTGCATACTAAATATTTTTTACAGTTGTGCTTTGCAGGTTTTAATTGGAGGTAGCAAAACACCCTATCACTAAAAATATAGATAAGAATAAACCCATGCTAAAATATTTGTAACAAAACATAAAATATTTAATTTTTGAAAAGTAAAAATGCTTTAGTTTCAAATGAAAGTATCTAGTGAGAGACAGCTGGATATGTTATACTTGATCTTCCATGGGGCAAAAATATTTTGTGATATTTTAAAGATATTTTTTGTTGTTGACAACAGTAAAGAAAAGCACATTAGAATTTCCCCTGAGACTCAAGCTTCATTTTAAATTGTCACTAATAAGCAGTGCTTTGTCCATTAGCATATTGGCTCTTCTGCTTATCTTTGTCATTTTGAAGGCTGTGAAGGAGTCAGTGGCTTTTTCATCCTCCAGAATTCCTTTGAGTTGATGATGTTTTTGTTTTTCAGAACTAGGAATTCAGCAGAGACAGCAATCTTACTTTTTGATTCCTGTGGAAGAGTGTGATCTGATTGAATGTATTAGAATATGTGGGAAACCTCTTGAAATCATAACTAATAACAATAATAATATTTTGGTAGAGCATGTAAACTATCCTAAGTTGGTACGCTATTTATGTTGAGCTAGCAGTATGAGTGGTGAGTGATGTTCAGAGTCCAGATGCCACAGCCACAATGGGAAGATGAGAGTAAGAAATAAGATGACTTATTTAATCTGCATCTGCCCATGACTCTTATGTACATAATGATAGGACTCCTTAGTTGTCTCAGCTGAGGTGGTGAATATCATATAAAATATGCCAGCCTCATTTGTAAACATTTAGTACTCATATAGAAAGTATTCTGTGAATGCTGGGTGTATGTAGGTGGGTTTAATTATCATATATTTGAAAAGACCCACCTAACTGAGCACAGGCCTGTTGTGTATTATTAATGTAGTTAGCCAGTATGTATGCTAGTATAAAGGTATACACAACCTCTCACTTTTTTGGAAAAGTCAGAATTGAATTAAATAGCCTCTCCCAAACAATGGTGAATAATTTTTTTCAGCTCAGATCACAGAAAGAGTCAATGACAGAAATGTTTTAGGATGCCTTTGTGCTCTGTATGCAGGTTCTATTCAGGACCTATCAATTACATGTATCTGTAGTTTATAAAAATACTAACATGCAATGAAAATTACAGTACTTTTCTATGGAGCTTTTTAAAAAAAATTTTAAATTAGGAATTTGAAGTATTGACTATATTTCAGATAATTTAGGGAAATCAATATGTGGGTTATCAGGAATATTGTGCTTCCTTTGGTACAAATAAGAATATACTTGTTAGTTCATTTTATAGACACAAATAAAATTAACCACCTCTTTCATGCTGATGAAATTGAGAGCATATATTTAACAGCACATAAAGTTAGGATTTCAAAAGAGGTGTCATAATTTTGCATTAAAAATAATGCCACACCTACATTAAAGTGTGTTACTTACTCAAAATTCAAGCAATGTAAAATGGGTGTATTTAGCATACACTAATATACAGGATTCTTTTTTTTAATCCCTGTTGTGTGTAAACAAAAATAACATTCTGATTGAGGGTTTATTGCTGCAGCAAGAAATCCGTGTCATGCTCAGTGATAATCACTTCTACTTACTGAACATTAACCTTATAGTGACAAGGGAGAAGAACTGTCACTGCAAGGAGGACAAGCAAAATTGTATTTGAGAATAATTTCTCTTAGTAAAATATGGCTGAATGCATCTTCCATAAAAATAAGTTTTGATTATGCATTGGAAAAAAAATCCATGTGAGTGCTTGAATGCAAATCTGGTAATTCTATGGAAGTTCTTGATTGCTTGTGCTGTTAAGAAAATTAACAGAGATTCAGGGTGGCCTTACAGAATTCAAAGTACAATCAGGCATCTTTTCTTGCGAGCATTAAGTTGTACTTGAGCATTATGTGCCAGTTCTGATAACTGAAACACTCATCCGTTGCTGATGGAATTACCTCACAGAGAAGCTGCATGTCCAGCCTTTGAAGAACCTGTTATTTTAGATACCTGAAAGCCCATTATGCTTGTGCATTGATGTGGTGGTTCTGCTGCATTAAGTCTAACCTCCTGATTTTCTTGGATTCATAGTCACAAAGAAACAGCTTAACAGACACTTGATTAAATAAGAAACACACAGAAAAGCAGAATTCAGGTTTTGATCTTTTGTGTTTTGCAATGAGCTGCTTTTTCAAGAGGAACTTTGTTTTTTGTAATTTGTATAAGCATTTACAGCACATCAAGAGGAGATAGATCTTGGAGAAAAATGGATCTCTGTTGTCTTCCTGCTGTAAGCTTGGCACATTGCCCTTTTCATTCAGCAATTTCATTAGGAATACACAGTGAATATTGAGTTGGAGAACTAATAATGTATTTGACTAAGCTGATTTAGCGACAGTAAAATCCTACCATCTGTCCGGAGACTAAGAGAAATCAACTGTTCCTTGTAAATGCTTTACAGTTTTGCAGTGTAGTATGATGTGCCTTTCATAATCTACATGCCCTGAAGTTGCACAGAATTTATGATGAAGTCTTCATTCCATTGGTGCCACTGGTAAACCTCTCAATCACCTGAGGAAGAGTCCAGAGGCAGTCTTCAGTCTCGGTCTTCTGACAGTTGCAGATAATGGCTGGTGGAAAACTAGGTCTTGCAGTAACTTTGATTCCTTCAGGGAACATTTTGCCTGTGAAAAGCATGAATGGCAGTGCATGGAGCATTAATTTAGGTGGTGTTGGTGTGTCTTTAGATGGTTTGTTTTTGTTTTTTTTATTTTTATTTTAAAAATCTCAAGTACAAAAATATTCCCTATATAGTTACCCTGTGGTAACTACAGAATTATCCAGTTGTGTGGGTTTTGGTTTTTTTGTTTGTTTGTTTTCCACAAGGATGATGTGAAAGTTGTAAATATAGTTACATGGTGCTGAAAGGGATCTCAGAATGTGGGGAGAATAAGGTAATTTGTATAGGTCTTCAGTTTTTGCAGAACGTTTTCTATATAAATATTGTAGTTGATAAGATACTTGTCATAACAATGACATGCTATCATATCTACAGTAGCTATTGTATGTATGATAGCTGTTTTATCAATTAACTTTCAAGTGCTATTTTTGTAGTTAACCCATGCCAGTGGACATGTTTGCCTGTCTGTTCAGCCCTGGGGAATAAGAGAAAGGTTAAGCTTTAGGTGTTGTTTGCATGCCTACAATTTAATAGCCCTTTGTATTATCCTTCTTTGTTGTTATATATAATAAAATATGAGTTTAGAGTATCAGTATGAAATGAGAATACTGTGTTTCATACTTTTTTTGGTTTGTTATCAGAAATAAATTTTAGCTACAAAAGTTCTAACTACATTTCTGTTCTGCTAAGTCCCTCAAAGGCATCTGAGATTTTATGTTTTCTATGAGGTCTGCTAGTTACCAGTTTTCAGTTTGGGATGCTGTGTTTTCCTGCCTTCTTGCTAAGAACCAAAGAGTTAATAGTAAAAACATAATCCAAACAAGGGGTGTGCTTTCTGGGGAAGAATAGAAACTAGATAATAGTTCTTAGAGCGATAACATATAGGAAGTTCTTTGTTATTTCTTAGTGTATTTTTCCTAAGGCAATTT